TACGATATGACAAAAATCATGGACAATCCTTAGAAAAGCCGCACCTGACTAAAAGCCGCAGGGTTCAAAGCTTGTGCAAAAAGTAGCAGCTTATAGCCCGACAATTACGGTAATAGAATTTTTAAAAAGTACATGTTCAGAAGCTTTGGAAGCATCTCTTTGCACAGTAGTCCTCCTATCAGTGTGGCTGCTTGTAAGCACAGAAAAGCTTTTCTCTGTAGTTGTAAATGGGATAAAACCCTTTAAACAAGTGAACTTTTTAAACACGATTAAAAAAAAAGGCTGCATGTCTATAAACTGATCGAGCTGTCTAAAACGTCAGTCATGTCATCCGTCTGAAATACAACTCGAAGCGCTTTTAACTCGAACCCCTCTGGACTGACAGGAGATGCTTCACAGAGAGCTCTTTGAAGAGTCACTCGATTCCAGTGGGGAATAACCGATTTATATTCAAAATGCTCTTTAGCACAGAGACGTGGCCACTAAATGAACAGACGGCAAATATATGACTGGAACGTTATGGCTCATAGCAGCATATTAATCGTACATTCGAACGTACATCTCGTTAATCGACATTTTATTTGGAAAAAAACAGGAAACAAATGTTTAAAGTGAGAAAACGGACCATTTAAAGAAATTGGGTAATTTTGAATTTGATGACATCATGTTTCCCACTGTGTGCAAACATCTGGGAACTGAGGAGACCACCTGCTGGACTAACAGGAGAACAATGTTGTCCCGTTGTTGTCTGATGGAAGATTCCTGCTGCTTCACAGTCCTGGGTCTTCTTTGCTGTAGTTTTAGTTTCGTGATGATCCAGATGTTCAGCACCCAGACTCTTCTTCTGTGAAGCCATGCTGTTGTTGTCTTGCTGAAATACACAAAACCTTCCCTGGAGAGAAGCCGGAGAAAGTCATCTTTCTGGGAGCAGATGTTGAGCTAAAACCTCCTGAGCCCACGGAGCCATGCACGTGAATGCAGTTAAAAGGCTTTGCCCGTTGTGCACAGAGATTTTTCAAGTTTCTCAGAATCTTTCAGTGATATTAGGCACTAATAATGGGATTTACATCATTCTGAATTTGTTCCACAATTTTTAGACATCATTCTTTGCAGTGTGGTGAACGTCTGCCCATCTTTACTTCTGAAAAACTCTGCCTCTCTCTTTATACACAGACAGGTCAGTGACCTGTCGCCAATTAACCTGATTGTCATTTTTAGCACCATTTACTTTTCCAGACATTTGTTGCTCCATCCCAACTTTTTGGAGACGTGTTGCTGCCCTCAAGTTTAAAATGACCTTTTTTTTCTTTTATTCTTAAAATGGTAAATTTTCTAAGCTCAAATATTTTATTTGTTTTTTATGTTCTATTATAAATAAAATCTGGGTATGCGATTGTCAAAGATTCTGTTTTGAATCATAATTGACTCAGCGTCCCAGCTTTTTTGGTGAATCTGGCATCAACAATGCATTTTATTCTGCTGAACTGCTGCTCGTGGGATGGTTTTAGTTTTTCAGGCCATTCTCTGTAAACTGTACAGAAGCTGTGCAGGAAATCCCAGCAGATCAGCAGTTTGTGAAATCCTCAGACCAGCCTGTCCACAACTAACAACCATCCAAGTCCCTTAAATCACCTTTCTTACTCTTTCTGATGCTCAGTTTGAACTTCAGCAGCTCATCTTGGTTATGTCTGCATGCCTGCATGAATCGAATTGCTGCCATGTGATTGCTCTATTTTAACATTTGCATTAACAAGCACTCTAACAGGTGTACCTAATAAAATGGTTGAGTGTAGATATTCATAAATGGCATAAATGTGTTATTCTTTTTTCTATTTTTAAAATTAAAAACGGATGTGATCACCTGTTTACATTTCATACCCCAATAATCTGTCAATCTGATGTTCGTGCATGCACGAACTGGCTTTTTTTCAAATATTAGACACGGAAAACATGTCACACTCTTTAACTACAGTCAGTGTTTGCTGTTAAGCAACAGCTATTTATGGCCTCGGACACACACAGGTTGTGAAATCGGCCTCATTTGCTACATTCTGAACGATGAGACTCACCCTGAGCTCACCCTGCATGTCGAATTTCTGTCAATAACCTTCCTCCCGGTCCTAGAAAATGTGCATGTTGCTTAGTTTATTTGTCCTCAGGCTTCAGCTCGCGTTAAAGTCTGCAGCTATGAATAGTTCCCCTCATTAGTATGTGCTGCAGAAATCCCGCTTGCCTTCTCACCTGGATTAAAGTGACAGTGAGGGATGGCAGAAATGAAGTTGTCCCTCCTTGGTACCTGTTGACCTTCCGTTGTTGATAAATGTCTCCAGACACAATTCAGATCATCCGTCTATCAAAAAAGTTTTGTGCCAGCTGACTGGAGAGAAGCCAAACAGAGCCAGGCGTCACAGAAACGGCTTTTCATTTATTGCTTGGTTGTTTTAGGAGAGTAAGGTACAGATACAGCAACAGAATGCAATGTGCAGAAAGGAGATAAAAAAGATTGCATGCCATGTGCTGCTGACACTGCAGGCTTCACTACGCTCTAGTGCAACAGTGGGACCACATCATAGCCTCAGGGGTTTTTTAAAGCCTACTTTCACCACTTGTTGCACAGAACCTCGCGGTTATTTAAGATATTTAGTAAAAAATGTTACCCAACATCTGCCTGTGAGTCACGAGTATTGTGTTACGAGGCTTTGCATAACTGTGTGGGTGATATTGTGTGTTTCGATGTGTGTGTGAATGAGAAACAGAAAGATGATGGTAGGGAGTAGGTGTTTGTTGTTCTTATGCAATTTTCATAGTCATTTTCTTTTTGTGTGTGTGTGTGTGTGTGTGTGTGTGTGCGTGTGTGTGTCAGTCGTCAGTGCCCAGGGTCTCCAGGCCAAGGACAGGACAGGTTCCAGCGATCCTTATGTGACCATCCAAGTGGGTAAAACCAAGAAGAGAACAAAGACGATCTACGGCAACCTGAACCCAGTCTGGGAGGAAAAGTTCAGCTTGTAAGTGCAAGTTGCTGTTTTCCTCCAGGTTTAAAACGTAGTTGGAGCTGAAAGCTACGTGCCTCTGTCACGGTGACCCTGCTGTGCAAGAAGATGATTTGTAATAGTTTTCCTGAAGGTCCCGCACATCCATAGGAAACCCACACAGATGATTTCACTTGGTTTGTTAGAGGTCTTTTCAACACTGTGTGGGTTTGCACAGAGTATTCCTCGTGATCATCTTTGCTGTGTTGTTCCTGATCACATCATCTTTTTTAAGTACATGGAGCCCAGTGGAACAGATGTAAAGGTGTGGAGGACAGCAGTAGTATCAGTATCTGTGGTTCCTTTGGGTCCAATGGGTTGTGGCCGTGGGATCATATCGGAATATGGGAAGATTAATGCCTGGTTTTCATCAAGTTTTTATATTGTGGTCTAACATTGTTTCCATGAGGGAGGCCTGACATGTGAGGTGTGTGATTGTGCTGCAGCAATGGTGGGCGGTACGTTTCAAAGTAACACCCACGTCAATGTCTAGACCAAAGTTTCCCAGGAAAATCCAACTTTTAAAGGCAGCAGTCATGTTAAGCACGTCACCTGTCAGTGGGTCGAATGTTGTGGATGTTCTGTTAGATAGAATTTAGTATGCCCTCCTTTGGTTTTCATTGACTTTATTATATAATCTGATTAATAAATGAGGAATATTTGAACAGCTGCAGACCAGTGTGGGTCAGTTAGCACTAATGCGTCTTATTAGCTTTTATTGCCTGGTGCAACATTGGTAGCCCAGTCACTTTGTGCAGTTAAGACGTTTAAAACTCTTCTCAGTACAGATAAAACACATAAGAAGAGAGATTTAGAGATTTAAAATATGCACGATGTAAAGTTGCATCACATGCACTTCAAATTGATTTTAATTATATATTCTGTCTTCTTCAAGCTATATTTCAGCTTTTGGTTAGGACATCTATTTTTTTTTATTTATAAATATAGCCAAGATGAAACCTTTTTTTTTTCTTCAAATTAAATCAAAATTTATTTATATAGCACATTTAAAAACAACAGTTTTGATCAAAGTGCTTCACAAATTAAAAAATAAAATAAGACAAATACAACGCAAGACGAGACAAACATAGAAACCAACCAAATGATAATCAAACTATCTTAC